GGGAAGACAGAGCTTTGCAAACGGGAGGGACGGACGAAGAGATGGGGGCGGGGAGCGGCAGGGACACAAAGAGGAGGAAGACGTGCTCTGTCCGTTCAGCGGCTGCTCAGTGAACGCAGTCACCCGTGCCGCAAATCCTGACGGACAAAGACGAAGGTTGGGAAAGTGTATCTCCACTTCAACTATTTCATCTGAAATACTTACGGTTCCAACTTGTCAGTGGGATTAGACCAGTGCTTCCCAATTTGCTTTTGCCCATATTCCATAGTTAAAAATAACAAAACAACCTAGTATACAATGCATATTGAAAAAAAGATTTTTTGGAACAATATTTGCCTTTTTCTCCCATTTTAGCAGTTTTGTTGCAATAGAGTCACGCATCATAAAATTCAACCGTTTAAAATGCAGTTTCAGCCAGGTGTGGTGGTGCATGCCTGTAACCCTAGCACTTGGGAGCTAAGGCAGGGGAATCCCCATGAGTTTGAGGCCAGCCTGGAGTACATGGTGAGTCCCTCCCTTAAGAAACGAAACAGAACAAATGCAGTTTCAGTGGGTTAGTGTATTTATAGAGCTGTGCACCCAGCACCATCATGGAATTTTAGGCCACTTTCATTGCCCCAAAATGAAGCCCTGTTCCTGATGTGCTGTTAGGTGTTCGACTCTGTTCCATCCTGCTTCTTGTGACTCCTGGTTTACTGAATTGATTCCATGACCCTCTGATGAGTCACATCCTCCAGTTTGAAAAATGCTGAGCTTAACAGTGCAATTATATGTTTGCCATTTTGATCAAAATTTTCATGAGCTGAAACCCTCATTTTCTAGCCTAACATGCTGTTTGTGGTTTGCATGATTATTGTGTTATCTGTGCCTTCCTTGGAAAATTAAAGTGACTATCAATTTTTATAATAGCTGAACATTTTAATGGATGTTTTAATTCCAAAGTTGAACTTTAAGATCTACAAAAGCCTAATGATGATTAACCCTTATATCATCAACCAAAACACAGAGCACGGATTTGATGACTGAGAACACAAACTCCCCACAATGCCTAGTGGATGCATTATCATTAGGTACAGAAAAAGAAAAACTCAGAGGAAAAGCACACATCATAAAACTGCAACTCAACCCGTAACAACCTCCCTCCTCTCCTTCAATTTACAATGGCAACTGCTGGGACAACATGCTTGCTGCTCTTTCTCATCAGGGAGCAGAAACCGCAGCACAGCACACCTGCCCTGGAAGAAGGGCTGGGCTGCCGCCCACTAGCGCTGACCCTTCCTCACCTGATCTGTGCACCAAAAGAAGCAGAGCTCCACAGCCCCACTTGCTTAGTTGAGGATTAATGTAAATACCTTGGTTTGGGATCAGGACTGTTTAACTTAAAAGGATTGGTGAACTTTTCACATCCTCTGAAAATTTCAGGAAAAAGTATTCAATATCTCCATTAATTTCAGGAAAAAACAACAAGCCAGATATTCCACATGAGATTCTTTTTTTCAAGAAAGAAAACCAAGAAAGAAAAATGGAGATACAGTTGGAAACATATTATTTAGAAGTACAGCTAGTCCTGACAGTCGGTAGAATGTGTGGCCCTGTTTCAGGGAAAATATCCTGTAAAATTTCCACTTGTCCAAGAGTTGAAATGCTATCCTAAGTGGAGGTGAAGCTGTGCACAGAGCACATGCATGGTGACAACTAACACTGGACTTCTAATGAGGCTATCCAGGCTTCTCAAGCTCAAGCTGCCTAGAGAGAACCTAGAGGTGCTGGAGCAAGCAATTCACAGAAGCTGATCCCTAGCCCAGATGGGAGGTTTGCACAGCACGCTCAGCTCACTGAGCTGCCCTTCTCACTGCGGGGCCATGTCTGCTCCTCCAGGGCTCCTCCACCCTGCAGACCCTCCCACCGCTCCACAGTACCCAACACCACTCAACCATCTCTGTTGTCCCTTGGATCCACTGTCGGCTGCCCAGCCCAGCACAGGTGCCACCGCTACCTTGTCTTCCCCTAACCCAAGGAAGACACACCCCACCGCCCTCCAGGGGACCAGCAGCTTTGTTTTCCCAAAGATCATTCACTCATACAAGAGTAGTTATCAAGGTCTTTCTGTGCCAAGAGCTTTTCTTTTGCTCTAAGAATACGGCATTGAGCGAGGTAGTAAGTTCCCTGCCTTGTAGAACTTACATGCTCTCAGAAGTGGGCGGACAACAACCAAATAACAAGTTCTTTTAAACATTCAGGTAATGAAAGTACCATGAGGAAAGTGAAACAAGTCAAAGGCACAGGAAGGGGCAGCCGGGAGAAGCCTTCCTTCAGCTCGGGCGGGGAGCACAGTGCAGAGATCACCCTCAGCCCAAGATGGAGCAGTGGAGTGGTGAGAAGGTGCTGGGCTTGTGCAGATCCGAGGGCAAAGATGAAGCCTGGAAGCAGGCTTCCACGTGTGCCTGTGGTCCAGAGACGGGCAGGAGGCAGGCGGCAAGCAGAGGGGAGCAGGAGAAGGCCGGAGTGCTGAGTCCGTGCTTGATTTTGCCACAAGCTGAGGCGCCGCAGTCAGACAAGCCAGGCCACTGGCCCTGTCCTTTCCCAAGTTACACTTCACAGAGTTCTCGCCTCTCAGACTTTCCTCCAAGGAATCTGAGGTAGGTACAAAACTCTCAAGCTTTGCTGGGTGTTAGTATTTCTACTAACAATGAAAGTTTCATTTCCTAAAGGTGTGCACAGCTGAGTTAAAACTCTCTGTGCCTCTTCATCTATCTGCACTACTTGTATTTCTATGCTGTTTGACTTGTAACATTTTAAAGTGTAAAATAGCAAAGTATAAATGGAATAATTAGTTACAACACTAAGGGAAAATATTCACGCGATCTAAGTTCAGACTCCTGGGCAACATAGTGATTAGCAGGTTATACATGCCATCCTGAGCAGCTCGGTGGCTTACGAAACTCTCCCTGTGGTTTTTTGTGGCACTTTGGCAATAATGTTGCTTTAATCACATAAAAGAGATCTCAGGAATCTTTTTTATCTCAATCAGGAGAGATCTTTAATTGTCTGCTGACACATGGGCTGAATTTCCTTGTCTGTTTTATCTACTTCTTAGCCCACCGCACCTCCACCCATTCCCAAGGAAAGCCCCCCAGGGCAGAGTGACCACAGATCATTGAAGAAAGTCCCAATTCAATTTATGTTCTGATTTCTGCTCTCTATTAAGAAGGAATTGGTTGGCTTTAGTAATGGTTGATAATGTATAGTCCTTCCTCAGGCAGGGAAATGTAGTTCTCTCCTCTGGTTTCAAGAGCAGTCAAACAGAACACAGTATACATTTTAAGGTGAGAAATAATATAGCTTCTTTATGCCACTTGCTGTCAAGTAACCTAATCCTGAGGGCATGGAATCCAGGAGGGACAAGTGTAAGTGAAGAAGACCAAGCAGGAAAAGATCAAACTCTCAAGGTCTTTGAAGAGGAGAAAGTCAAGAGAAGACCAGACAGGGCCTGTCAGGGAGCTGGAGCCAGTGTGGAGTCACTTGCTGTCATGGCACAAGAAAACTTTTCCAAACACTGGCAAGCACTGTGCTGAATAATGAAGAAAACTGCGTTTTAATAGGATGGATTGGGGAATGTGATCATTTGAGGTGCCCTCGCTGTGTTCTTCATTCTCCCGTCCCCTCCCCAGGCTCCAGGATACAATATTTCAAGTCAGATTAGAGTCCTATAAAGTTGGCCTTCGGTATGGCAGTTCCAATTTGCAGAATCAACCAAGGGTCAAAAATATTTTCTTTAAATTGCTCAACTGAACACTTACAGACATTTTTCTTATTTTTATGGCCTAAAGACTATAACAGCTATTTACTCTGTATTAGGAATTATAATTACAATTACAATCTACAAGTGATTTAAGGTATTTATCAGGACTGCACAGGTTATTAGCAAGTATTATGTCATATTACATCAGGAACTTGAGCATCAAGGACTTCAGTGCCCACAGGGGTTCCTAGAACCAGCCCCCCCAAGAAACCCAAGGCTGACCACACGTGTATACATGCAAATGTATGTACACATAGGCATATTCAGATATATTTATATATACATTGTAAATACACACAGATACGTAACGTAGCAAATGTCTACTCCACAAATGGAATCAACCATCATTTTTGTACCTAGAGTAACAGCTCTCTCAGGAAGAAAGTCTGTGCATGAGAATGTCATACACTTCCTCATTTTCAGTAAAGACCTGAAGTAAATACAGGGGTTTGATAACATCCTTTCTAAGTAATTATCAACTCACCTCAGAAACAGCGATGTAAGTATCATTCCGCATAGGAAAAAGAGGAAAGGAGAATGACTTAAAATCTTGAAAGTTGTAAATAATTTGCCCGACCATTGATAAAAAACCAAACAAAACATAAACAAAATGTCATCCCCAGCAGGCCACTGTGTGAATTGCTCTGAACTGGGTTTGCATCATTGGAAAAGATGGTAGAGCAGGATGTCGGCTAGCAAATCTCAGCCAAGCAAGAGGGGAGCTATGCTGCTCCACAGTAGGGTGTGGGGTGTTCCCAGAGGGCCAAGGGAGACACACTGAAATGAAAGCCACCAGTTGCTCTGGCTAGCAAAGGCCAGTAGGCTCCTCTGCCCAGCCTGGCTCCTCAGCAGCCACCTGCTTCCTGGATTGCTGCCCAGCAACAAACAAATGGCTCTTTCCCACTTCCTGTCCATTCATGGGGCAAGTGCGACTATATGCCTCACACTGTGGTCAGGGCAGGGAACACAGTATAAGAACTACAGAGAGTATCCTGCCCACTGGCGTACAAGAAACAAATACATCAGTGGACAAATAATTCAGTTATCAATTGTGAAAAGTGCATAACAATCACTAAGTCAAGATGTAAAATGCTCCTCTATTCATAATTTCTATGGAGCACAGAACCACAAATATGGGCATGGGCATAAGTAAATCTGGAAATGGAGGAATGCAGGGGTAAACTAGATAAGAAGAACTGTGAGAAATGTAAATAAGAAGAGGTTATGTCTTTATTCAAATATCAATGTTGCAATTTGACTCAGTGATGGAAAATATTAGGATTATCCTGCATTGCCATAATCTACTGATTTAACCTCTTACCTGAACAAAGGAATCCACTTTAAACAACAAAATTCTTTTCCATAAAGATGGAATACTTGCCAATATGTCAAGACTATCCTTAGGGAGATAATATTCTAATTTACTGACAACAAAGTAGAGAATCAAGGAATTAAGAACAGTAATTAATTTTGCCGCCTGCCTCCCAAGCGCAAGGACCACAGTTCAATCCCCGGTACAAAAAAAAAAAGAACAGTAATTAAGTTACATACCTTTAAGTGGCAAAGCTAGACTAAATTAAAAATGAAAAACGAAGCATCTGAAATGAATTTCCTACATGAAGTGGAGCAGATTGATAACCTCTGGATTTGATAGCTACCATGTTGCCTGCAGCAGACTTTGGACTTGACCCAGCCCCCTGCTGCTGGAAGTGTGGTCGGGGGCCACCAGGACAGAGTCTCCACCAGCCTCTCAAAAGTGCAGAAGCTCGGGCTCTGCACCAGACCCGCTGAATCCGACAGTTCACTAGATCTTGCATAACTGCACATTAAAAACTGACACTCAGACAACTAGGAGAGTTAGGAAATGCCTAACATTTTACTAAAAAGGGCTTGGAGCAACTAGACACCCAGGAACCCCTGCATTGCATTGCATTGCATTGCATCGCATTGCATTGCATTGCCCTTCCTTGGCCCCTGTTGCTTTCCTAATGTTGATCTCAGTGCTCTCTGTTCATAAGGATGTCTCAGGCTAGCCCAGTCTCCCTTTAGAGTCAAGTAAACTGGCAGAAAACCAATGGAAATGCAAATGGGGTCCCTTAGACAATTTCCTGTGCAAGATAGCATCCATATCAAAACAGAAACACAAGTCTTACTTACACACTTGACAGCACAGTTTTCCTGATCTACAGAGCTCCAAAAGTAACATCCTTGGATACACTGCAAGAGATAGCAACAGATAATGGTGATGGAAGAAATGCAGCTTTTCTTGTCACATGAAAGTGCAGAGCAACAAAAAGCATAACCTTATGTTTTAGAAATAGAAACTACCTGGGTCTGGGATTTAGCTCAGTGGCACCGCACCTGCCTTGCAAGCAGAAGGTTCTGAGTTCAAGCACTGGTACTGCAAAGAAAGAGGAGAGAGAGAGAGAGAGAGAGAGAGAGAGAGAGAGAGAGAGAAGAGAGAAAGAGAAATCTAGGAAAGAAGCTGAGGCCCCGAAGGACTGGGAGCTTTGTGATTGTAATCAGCACTGTCCTAACTGCAGACAGGCCAGACCTCAGGTGGTTCACAGCAGAGGAGCAGAGTGGCAGAGCCAAGTTAAGGCCTGAGCCCCATGAAGGATACTCTTGTCTCATGATCTCTGCAAAACCAAAGGCCACAGAGCACCCAGTGTAGGATCACGTTCTCCACTGGGGAGCTGGCAACAGACAAATTCCAGGACAGCATAGCGGCAAATGTATGCTGGGTCCACAGGTGGAGCTCACGAGCAGCCCAGCTCAAAGTCCTCAGGTAGAGCATGTGGGAAGTCTGCTGCCTGCCGGCCATGGGCCCCACAGCTTCCCTCAAAATACCTTCCCACACTGCCTGACCGCCTGCTGGACAGACTTGCACACTTGTCCTTACCTTTCCGTATCAGGCATTCCTTCCGCAGGCCACACGTAGGTAACCCCAAAGCTGTGACTATGGCTGGGCTCCTTCCCAAGCCCCAGGCCCACGCACCCACCCAGATATCAGTAAACATCTCCACTTGTGTCCCCACCGGCAGCTCAGGGTTAGCGCCCGAGACACGAGGCTCCTCACTGGCCGCCCTCACGCTTGCTCCTTCTCCTCTGTCTCCCCCCAGTCTGCCCATCCTCTGAGTCTCCCTCCCTCCACCCACCGCCCACCCCACGGGCCAGGCTCACCAAGCCCTGCTGGCACCCTGGGCCCCAGGGGGGTCCTCCTCGCTGCCCTGACGTCTGTGCTCCTCGCCATGTGCCCAGAGGCTCATGAGGGTCCTTCTGTCTCATGATCTGTGCACAATCAAGCGGGTCGCATCCTCGTCTGAACTCTCCGTGACTCCTCATCTTCTTGTGGATTGAGGCCACGTGACCAAGCCCGGACACAGGGCCACCCTCCGCCTCCCCCCAGCCCGGCCTCTCCGTCCTCCCTCCACGCACGCGCGTGCCCACTCCCCAGGCAAGGCAGGCCACCTCACACTTCTGCGCCTTGGTACCGGAGCCTCTCTTGCTGACGGGCCTCGCCCTTCCTGGTCCTTCTAGAACCCTCTTCTCTTTCGGGTTTCAGAGGCCTTGCAGGCAATGAGGTGTTTTTTTCTCCTCTTTCTCCTCTTAACACACCCACCTCATACACACCATCCTCCTGGTTCTCATGACGCCGTATGGCCCAGGTTTGTGTATGTGTCTAAAAGGTTGAGAGTCCTTTTAAACAGATGCTATTTTATTCATTTGCAGATCCCTAGTGTCTGGCCCATTGCCAACTGATACCTTGCATCACCAACACTTTAATAAATGAATACATGTGCAGAAAAGTCATAAAACCATAAACTGTATTTGTTAGAAGAAATTTTAGAGGCCAATCAGCCTAATCCTCTCAGATAATATGCAGTAAAACTAAGCTTCACAAAAATTAAGTAATTTGTCCAAAGCCACACAGCTATGTAGAGTCAAAATCATGGGCTTGGATTGGTCCTGTGCTTTTTCCTACTTCAATACACTTTGTTTTTAAATGAATCTTATAGTTCATACTTGTCTGTATTTTTGACTGACCTTTTTTCCAGAAGAGACGAGTGAGATTTTACTTAGCAATTATTCTTATTATAATAAGCCTAACCATCATTCCTTTTCAATCAACACAAATGCTGTAAAGTTCTTGACAGTGAAGCAGTTACTCACTGGTCCACTTAGATTGTGTGGGGTGCCAAGGCTGAGCCGCCTGCCCTAAAAAGAAGGGGTGATAAAAGCCAGCTATTGATATCAGCAAGTACCACACCTTTCTTAGAAGCTTCCCAGAATTGTGTTACCTCCTCTTTGTTTTCTAACAGTGAAGTAAGAAGCTAAATGTTTAAAAATCATTAAATCCACCATGAAATCAGACAAAATGCTGGTGCAAATTACAGATACAATCCCTGAGAATTCACAGAAACTACAAAGTAGGATTGAGAATGACTTTAGGAAGGGCCGGGGACTTAGCTCAGCGGAGCTGCCTGCCTCACAAGTGCAAGGTCCTGAGTTTGATCCCTGGTACCAAAAAAAAAAGAGCAGTGGAGGCTGATGGAGGGTATCTCCTACCAAATTAGATAGATCTATGGACTGATCAGTTAATCAGGTCTATGGACTAGTCAGTTAATTAGGTCAGCTCTGCTGGATTGGAGATGAATTGGCTCAGATTTTTCTTTTTTACAATTACTCTTGAAGAGCAGAATGTTGCACATGTGTGTAACAAAACATACAAGTGCTCCATTTATTTCTCACCTATGTGCAAATTTTAGAAGTTTTTTTAGTGGGAGCAAACTAAGAGAGAGCTAAGGGAGGACATCTGTAGATTTCTCATCCTCTCTCTGGTCATTATTTGCATGAAGTCCTCATTAGCAGGTCTACAAAGATGGGTGGCGATTTGCGCCTCCCCTGGAAGGTCTGCTGATGCGAACCACTGAACTGCAGAGGGGGGCATCCGAGCGTGACCCAGGGCCAAGAGCAACATAAGGCCCAGGACAGGACAGAAAGTCCCAAGGAGGCGCAAGAGGTGGCTTAAACTCGGGTGTGGCTCTGCACCATCTGAGGTTTTCAAGGGGAAAGGGTAAGCTCACCAAGCAACCCCCTTCCCACCCACTTTCTTTGCTCTCTAGTCCCCAGGACCTAGAACAGTGCCTGGTGGATGAGGAATGGACAATAACTAAATGCTGAAGGAATAAATCCATGGATCTTCTTGGCACTTCACTCAATCACCAAAGGCCTAGCATTGTAGAGACTACCTTGAAAAATAGACACAAAATCCAAAAGCAACAAATGTTCCCTTCTTTCTCTGTCTCTCATTTATGTGAATGAAGGTGTCTCAAAACTCCAGCTCCGGTTGGGCATGGTGGTACAACCCTGTAATGCCAGCACCCTGGGAGGCTGGCAGGAGGATCACAAGCTCCAGCCCAGTCTGGGCAATTTGACGACTTAACAAGGCCCTATCTCAAAATAAAAATCATTTTAGAAAAAGAGCTAGGGTCCCAAATTTAAAGACCCAATCCAAAAATAGGCATCTGAAATGAACAGACATTTCTCAGACAAAGAAGTAGAAGTAGCAAATAAATACATGAAACAATGTTCAACATCACTGATCATTCGAGAGATGCAAATGAAAACAATGCTGAGATTCCACCTCACTCCAGAAAGAACGGCTGCTATCATGAAATCAACCAATAACAAATGCTGGCGGGGCTGTGGGGAAAGAGGAACCCTGCTCCACTGCTGGTGGGAGTGTAGACTGGTGCAACCACTGTGGAAATCGGTATGGAGATGCCTCAAAGAACTAGGACTGGAAGTCCCATTTGACCCAGCTATTACCCTGCTGGGGATCTTCCCCAAAGAATTAAAAGAATCATACCACAGTGATATATGTGCACCCATATTTATAGCAGCACAGTTTGTAATAGCTAAAGCTTGGAAACAGCCCAAGTGCCCATCAACTGGAGACTGGATAAAGAAAATGTGATTTTTTAATAAAATGGAGTACTACTCAGCCATAAAAAATGAGAAATTAGAGACATTTATAGCTAAGTGGATGCACATTGAGGCAATACTCTTAAGTTAAATATATAGGACACACATGTGTAAATACCGAATAGTTTCTCTGGTGTGAGAAACTGAAAGTGTAAATAAGGACTAAATGTATAATAGGTCATGTGAAATAGGAAGGAAAGGGGCAAAGGGGAAGGAAGTGGGAGGGCTAAGGGAAAGGATAGAAGGGAATGGGATTAATATGAGAAAATGGAAAAACAGGAACAAAATCTTTGTAAATAGGGAGGAATGGAGGGGTTGAAGGGAGGGCTGGGCAAGGGTGAAAAATAAGAACCAAGAGAGACTATGTAAAGGTGCAAATTTCCAATGATGAATGTCATTATATTGTATACCTAAAATGTACCAATTATTAGAATGAATAATCGATAATGTAAAATAGGAAGAAAAGGTCCAAAGGGGTAGTGGTAGTGGGAGGGGCAGGGGAAAGAAAAGAAGGGAAAGAAAAAATGATGAGAAATGGAAATAAAGTCTTTGTAAATAGGGAAGGGTGGAGGGGGTGAAGGGAGGGCTAGGAATGGGGAAAAAATAAGAACCAAGATGCATCATGTAAAGGTACAATTCCCAATGAGAAATGTAATTGTGTTGTATACCTACAATGTACCAATAAAAGAATTTAATACAAAAAAAAATTTTGTTTTAGACAGTAAGTACATCTTTTAGATTAATTTGTAACCCAGTGTTGATCAGATGTTGTTTCCATAATTTTGCTCAAACTGAAGTTAATTCCCCTTCAACCAACTGAACTACACTTACATAGACTCAGGTGAAAGACACTGAGTTCCTAAATAAATGTCTCCCATTCTTTAACAAATGGATGCCAGCTCCCAAAAGCAAACAGTGAAGCGCCTGCTGGGCAGCCTTTCCTTCTCTTAGGAGCAGCGAGACAGCAGCGTTTCTCGGCGGCCAGCCGCGCCCTCTGCTGGAGCCTCTGGAGATCGCGCTGCACAGGCGAGCACGGACGCCCGGCCGGCAGTCGGGAGCTGCGCGGAGTGGGGCGTGCGGGTCTCCGCGGTCTCCCCGCGCTCGCCCTCGGAAGCAGCCGAGCTAACGAGTGCCGGTCGGACCCCGTGCTCCAGGCACTCATGGGGCCTCACACTGAACCCCAGCCCCTCCATACAGTGCGCGGAGCAGGCGTCGGGACGCGCGAGCTCGCTCTTGGCGACGGCAGGGTGCCTTCCGGGACGGCGCAAATTCACACTTCTCACTGCGGGCTTCAGAGCTGAGGGTCTCCCCGCAGCTTAGCCGAACTCCAGTTTCTCCCGTTATCTGTCCCCGAGAGTCAACTCAGCCCACTTCCTGACCCTTTTCAGCTAACACCCACTTGTGGGCCCAAGCTTTTCTATCCTGCCCCCCTGCCCGGAACTAATCTCATTCTTGGCTTCCTGCCCTGATCAATAGGGCAGAGGAATCAGTGTTTCAGTCCCACATTGGACCCTTTCCCAACGTGAAGTTTTAAACTTGGGTTCTCATCTGATACGCAAGTCGGATACTATGTAATTCATAAGATTCAGTTAAAGAAGGTACTGTTAGGGTACAGTGCCGGCCTTAAAAATCTGTCTCTGGAGTTTTGTGCACATGTATCTTTGGCTAAATAATCTCCACAGATACATTTCTGGTTTGCAGGGTTAAACGTATAATTTCCCTTTCAGTTTTGTTATT